AATTTAAATTTTAAGCTATGCTTCTATCTGTATTCTTGTTTTATTAAATGTTATCAATTATTATTATTATTCAAATAGTCCTCATTATACAACAACTTAATTATATTTGCTTTGGAAGGCTACTAAAAACAAAGTAAGGATAAATGCAATTATTTTTGTAAAATATATTTAGAACATCATGTTAATAAGTACTTTTCTAAACCAATACAAAAGACACATTCTGAATATCAAAAAGGGATTTAAGAGCGTTCTTCCTGATAAAGTCTAAAAAGGAACTTTAATAACACAGTTTTTTGTTTCTTAAAAATAAACTAAGAAATCTACGATATTAGTTGATAAAGTTGTAGTGACACTAGTTTTTCTTTTTTCTTTTTTTTTTTTTTTTTTTTTTTGAAGTAAAAGACGTGAAAAATGTGCAGTGCCCTTACTAGGACTCGAACCCTGGGTTTTCGAGCATGGATTTAATTATACCACGGATGCATGAGGAAAAGTGGAAGAAATTTCCTTATGTACTCCCTTTTAAAGGGTGACTGGTGATTAGGGAACCCACTCGCAATATCCTGCTGGTGATGAATTATAGCCCCCAACCTTTTAGTTCGGGAGCCACTGTAGATTAATTTTTTTTTAAGTAGAAGACGTGAAAAATGTGCAGTGACTTCGCCGAGACTCAAACCTTGGACCTCTCGAATTCCCGCTGAGTATTCATCCCTTTACACCACGAAGGGTTGCGGAAAGACCTTATAAAGAAATGACCTTATAAAGCTTTTCACAGTAATATAAATTTTTTACCGACACGATAATTACTTTCGTTAATAATATTATTATGTTCACCAGAATTTGTATTAATCGAAAAGGATTATTAGTCTCAAATGTTATTTTTCGTTCTTTCACTTTTCATTCGAGTTTCATTATTCTATCATGCTTAATATATCTGCTATAATTAACCATTTTAATTTGATTGATTTAAATATAAATGCATTTAATTCATGAGATATCAAATTTAAACTTTAAATAATTTATAGAACTACATTTTATTTTCATTTTTTAAATAGAGAGAAAATATTTACGTTCCTATCCATGTACGTACCTATGTGAATGTAAATGCATATTCATCTAATATACTATAAATATTTCGCTATTCCACTTGAGCTATGCATATCGATAATTTCTACTGATAAATTATATAAAGTTTTAAAAGATACCTTTTGGGCGATAGGTAAAATCTGAGCATATTCAGATTTTTTTTGTTATTATTTTGTCTTAAAGTAACAGTACGTCAGTATCTAGACAGATATTTAATATTATTTTATTTCAAAATTTAAACGAATTTTAAAGCTACCTGATTGATTCTTTGAAATAGCAATACGAGGGAAGAATATGTTAGACGAATGTGAAGATTACATGAGTATTGCAATAATTACTGCTTGTTTAAATTTTGTTGCGTTAATATTTCGCTAAACTTACAAATAAAAACAGAAGCAAAGTGGACAAATTCGATTATTACAGGGATATGAGGCAAAATGTTGTCTCCGCAGCAAGGTTTCAGAAGTAAATTAATTAGTATTTACAAGCCATAACAGAAAATCTACGATTACTGCTTGACATTCAGTTCATGAATATAATAAAATTTTTGACTATAACGGAGTTTATTCATTCAATTAAAAAGCCGGCCAGTAGATTTCCAAAAATCCATAAAATAATAGAAAGCTTTGATCTAATCCTAAAATTAATATAACTTATCCTTCTTTGTAATTTTAAGCCACATCTTATGTCTTCTAGCATTATTTAGAAGAAGGCTTGGAATTGAATTTAAAGTTCATCTGGGGATGCAGTTCCTCATTTCAATAGAAATATTTAACACAGAGATATGCATTAAATAAGGAAATTATCGCTACTGCTGTTTGAAGCTGTCTTCTTTTGGTTGCATAAGACTATAATAATTCAGTCGTTTAGTAAACTTGAAGTGAGATTTAACTTGCTATTATTTAAGACTGAATTGATAAGAATTTAAATTCATGGAAAATTAATTTAATCTATAGTATTATCTTTGTTTGCCTTGTGAATAAAACTGCTTCATTTGCACCTTAGCTTATTATAAGTAAGCCTAAGATTTATATCATCTTCCAAAATGTTTTTACTTTATTATTCCAAATTTCATGACAGAGATTTTTAAAATTTTAGAATATATCTTTAAATTTAATATTTAATGCGAAACAAATAATTTTCTTTCCAGATTTAAGGATAGAAAATTGGAAGACACAACAACGTTAAGATACAAAATTTAAATGTAACTTTATAGCATTTGTAATTTAATTAGGTTAAATTATACATGCTTTCAAAGAGAAATGTATTTTTCAACAGGTCAACGTTACTTTTTCACGTATTTACATATTACATTAAAATGCTTTTGAATAGATTAGGGTAATTATATATGACCTAGATAGTTTATAAGGCATTTTCTGCCTTCTTTCTGCATACCCTCTTGGTGTAACTGGAAGGACACTCGAAGCATATTCAGGAGGTCCGGAATTCGAATCCTGGCGAAGACACTGCAGATTTCTTCATTTCCAGACATGGAAGACTCTACAGTGGAGCCCGAATTAAAAACTGACGGATGATAAGACATCGCCCCAGGATTTGGCGATTGGGTACCCTTATCCCCAGTCGCCCTTTGAAAGTGGGAATACGCAAGGTATTTTCTCCTCCTTTCCACTTTCCTTCGTGGTGTAACTGAAAGTACATCCGATGCGTCTTGAGGAGGTCCAGAGTTCAAATCTCGGAGAGAGTGCCTCACGGTTTTCACACCGATATAACCTAATGACTTTACAAGTTTATTACATGTAGTTTATTACATATGATTTAGATACACGTTTGAATTAAACAACTGCAATACATTAATACAATTAGACTCAGATGAAAACAAATATTAATCAGCTGCATACTTTACATTTATTTGTTCTAATTTTTACCATGAATTTTTTTCACTTGCTTACGGTTCATATCACGTTGATTTCGACTGATATCATTAATAGCACGTTGGTAACACCATCCTAGTTGTGAAACTGGTGACGGAAGTGTAGGATGCATCTAATCCACTGCAGTGGCTTCTCAACATGCAGTTCGATCTGGTGGATAATACCATTTCTCAAATCAATAGTTCCGTCGCTCCCTGTCACATCAAGTACTTCAAGGAAACTCTAATGGGAAATTATGGCAGAAGCGATATATTTAGAAAGTCTTTTTGTAGAGGGAGAAACATTGCCAATATACTCTATTCCTGATTGTGATGGAATGCTAGTCCTCTTTTTCAGCTCTTCGAGAAAGCTTTGAATTAAATTATTTTACTACCATAGTATAATTATTTCTTCCACTAAAGTACAGACCACGTCCTTAATAAGTTAATTCTACAAATTATTTCTGCTATTACGAGATTGTCCTCTTCTTATTTTATTTTTGTCAACGATGTAAGAATTGTCTGAATCAGTTACCCCATGCGTAGTTACATAATATTACAATATATGCATTTATAATAACATAATATAGTTACATAACATTTGATCATTGCAGTCACGTTTTAAAAAGGTTTATACAAAAATTAGGAAATATTGCTATTTTCACAAAAAGCTGTTTTTATAGCTTTTTTTACAAACAGTAAATAATTTAAAATGCCTTTTTTTTAACTTTTTTCGTTCTCCTCATACCTCAAACTTCATATTTGGGCCTATAGCTTTTCGATAATAGTAAATTTAGTAATTATAAAATTGACGGAAGACATCAAAATTTCATTTTTTTCAAAACTTTGAGAACGATGCATGAACGGAAGATGTAATTTTTTTTTCCATTTTGCTTAACTAGACGGTAGGCAAATTTTATGGGATATACCGACAGAGAAAAGGTATTTCTTCTTTAATTGTTTTTTCGGTGCACCTTAAACACTAGGCATCAGCAACATTTTTGGTAATAAACATATCAGCAACTTTTTTCTAAGATCAATTAACAGAGTCGTTCTTTGAATAATAGACTTTCATTAAAATGGCTTGTTATCTGTTTGAAAAAGTTCTCAATATTTCAAAGCAAACACTTATGCAAAATTTAAAATTATTCCATCAGACACAAAATAAAATGCTGCAGCAGCAAATAAAATTGGAAACAAAGTAAAAATAATACAAAATAACATAACTGAAACAGCGGTTTTAAGTTATAGAGTTTTTATTTACTATTTTTTGTTTCGATGCAAGAAATGAATATTTTAATCAAATAATTTGTGAATGAATACTATTTATTCAAAAAACATAGAACATACTTAAATGTATTTTGCACATTTTAAAATAATTTAAAATGTATTTTTTTTCTAATTCTTTTATTATAAGTTTATTGAAGAATTATAAATGCAACTAGCTGAAGTTTCTTTCAAACTTTAACTTTCGTGTATTCACACTATTGTGAACTATTCTATTTTCTTTATTATTAGTGAATATATTAACAATCCATTTTAGCAGTGTGTTTATTATAGTTATTTCACAGTTCCACACTTAAATGTTTATTATATTTATCTAGTAAACTCCGTTATCACATCGCTATTTAGATTACCATTTTTTTACCACTGCATTTCTTATTCTTTATCAACAATTCTTCTGACCCTTTTCCCGTAGTTCCATCATCTTTCTTTAATGTAAATATTTCTCATTAATCTTGCCAATTTTATTGTATCCCGCCGTTTTGTAATTTTATATATAATAGCAATATTATTCATTTAACTACTACTTTAACACTTAAATTTATCTTTCGATACTTTTAAAATATAAAGTTGCTAAACTGCGGGAATTGAAAAGTAAAAAGGAACGATTTTTGTCTCTTATTTTATGAACAGAGTTTTTTTGCAACACATAGATTCCTTCAACTAGTAGCAAATACTATTGTCAGGGACAAAAGTACTCTTCTCTGCAAGTAACCCGCACTTGTATTAAGGATCATTTGTGCGGAATTAGGGGAGGACTCACCTCCAATAATGAGTCTTGCTGCCGCTTGGGATGAAGACGAATCCCTATGGACGAAACACTGGTACATTCCAGAGTCTTGCCTCTTCAACTGTCGCAGCTGAAGCGACGTGGGAGTTGGGAATTGGACTCGGGAATTGGAAGCAATAAATCTCGTGTCCTTTTTCCACACGACACTGCCGATTGGATGACCTTCCACAGAGCAGTTGAAGAGTGCAGTTTTACCTACATCTAGCTGAAGCAGTTGAGGAGATAGATTCACTTTCAGAGGCTCTGAAATAAGAGTAGAAGAGGAAAGGGAATCATCAGGGTAAATAGGCTATTAAGTGGTGGGCAATTCAGACGAAGACTTGCGAAATGTAGGCGATAAGAAACGCATCAGATTTGAAGGGATAGGAAAACTTTTCCTTCAACAATAGTAGTCTTTTGCGTCTATTAATCCTAGAGTTAACTAACTACACTGAAAGTTTTTGTTTGCATTAACTTTTACAATAAAATACTGAATAAAAGAATAAGACATAATTAAAAATTAATTCTTCCTAATATTTACAGAATTCTTTTACTGTAAGTTTGAAGTTACACGATAATTTGGTTATTATTTATTAAAACATTGAGGTTACTAACAAATAAATACTGTACAATTATTCATCCTTAGACTTTTAAGGATTTTATACTTTCAAGAATATTATTAATACTTTTTTAATACATATGATCAAAAATTATAGTTTATCACAGTGCATGTTGCTCAATATGATCACGTTTGTCCACGGCTATTTTCATAGCAGTATCCGAATGATAACATTAACCGTTGAGAACAAATATCCTTAGTATAAATATGGAATCTAATTAAATTAAAATATATGAAACTAAAAACATACAGTCACTTAAAGAGCACTTTAATTAGAAAAAAGGAAAAATATATTTTTATACAGTACATAATGTGTTTAATGCAAAAGTTGGTTCATAAACGGTTCATAACAATTTTGGAAACAATTTGACCGATGCTATATCGCTAATCTCAATACTAGCGAGACATCTCTGATTGGATGTGAACTTACCAATATAAAATTTAAAACACCCTTAGTTCGGCTTAGATATTTTCAAAGAATGTTGTTTTTTCAGAGGAAAAAATTTGGCAAGAACTTTTTTGTTCCTTCAGAAGTACCAGTGTCTGATTCTATCAAAATCGATAGAGTTATTGAAAATCTATGTCAAGTCAAGTTTTTATTTGGCTTCATTTTAATTGCTTGACTGAAATCATAGCAAAATGCTCGGCGACATTTTTCTGCAAATTAGCTAATTAAAATGTACTTTAAAATTGTTTGGCAATTTCACCATTTACTTGGCTATTTTACCTCTGTTTAAAAATATACATGTAGGATGAAAATATACCGTAAAAGATAAATTATACTTTAAATCAGCAACAGCTCTTTAGTGCCTAACTAAGTATATTGCTTATGTATTCTAAAAATAGTAATATTTTTCTGCTCTGTATCGTTTCGAGACTAACCCATGTCAAATGACTCTTACAGATCGCTGGTGATGCAAAAGAAGTAAAAATTCAAACAGCCAATCATAATTTTACGGTAGAATTAATTATCAAATTAAATGCATTAATAACCAAAGCTAATTCATTCTGAAAAGAACAACTACACTTAGGGCTAGCTGTGCTGCTGCCAGCTGCTCCCTTCTTACTTTAGAACTATAAAAAATGAAAACATTTTGAAATAGGCTCATGTTATGCCAAGTTGCCTGTAGCTGCAACATGTTTACTGAATGAAGATTTTTTCATTATGAATCTGCGTATCTACACTATTAAAATTCTTGCTGTTCATTACGAATTCAATATTCTACATTCTATGATACCAACGTTTTACGCCATCAGTATTTCTACAGTATCATTGCTCCTAATGCATAATGAAGAGCAAACTGGCAGCACAGACAAATTAAATATTATAATATATACATATATATATTATAATATTTAATCTGCATACATAATATATATACATATATATATATATATATATATATTATGTTGTGGTTCTGCACGTTGGGCTGGTATTCCAGAGGTCCGTGGTTCGATTCCCGGCGAAGGCGGTTGCTAAAGTTTCATCTCTTCTGCTTCCAATTAACCTAATGTCTCTACAGTGGCGCTCGAACTAAAAAGGGTGTTGGATGAGGATTCTCCACACCCAGGATTTGGCGATTGGGTCCCCTTAAAACCCCACTCAAAGAATATATATCGTTAAGAAGGAAAACTTCGCAGCAGCAGGAGTGGCTCCCTTCGAACGAAAAGGGAAGCAGATGCGCATGCGTGAAATATTTGTCGCAAAACCTCGAAGCTGATGTCGAAGTTCGAACAGGTTCGACGGTCACGTTTATCAAGAGTTAAAAGCTGTGTGACTCCATTTTTTCCCCTCCATGTTGACGGATATAAAATCAGACATCAAACTGCGATATGGATAATGCAAGTTGAACAGCCAGTGAAAGTGAAACTTCATCTAATTTTCTTATTCATCTTAACCCGCGTTCCTCAATTTCCTGTACACGTCGCGAAAGAGGAAAATGCCTGCCAGGAAAGGTACACTACAGAGGGGGAAATTCTCGCCAACAGGTTCCGTCGCCAAATACCTTGGCGAATTTTCCCTCTTCTTTCTAGCGGCGTTTAAGACAAAGTGGTTTACATTACCTCTATGGAGCCTTTCTTTTTTTACATAGACATTCTTTGCCCCAGTCGCCCTTTAAAAAATGGAGTATATAAGGTATTTCCCCCCGCTTTACACATTCACATATTTTTTATCTTGCATGTTAAGATTGTGGCCACAAAAGTCAACTGCAAATAAAAATGGAATTAAAATAGCCTTAATTACCAAGTTTCTTAGATATTAAAGTCAACATATTAGCATACTACGCAATCAGAATTCTTCAATTTGGATCTAAGTACGCATCAACAGTGCTCCGTCTTTTCCTTGCTTTTATTATGTCATATACATTTATTATATTATTTTGATCAAATTAACCAAACAATTGATCACAAAGGTTTAACACTTTAAAATTTTAAAAGTATTAAAAGATAAACTTAAATCAATAATGATCTCTATCTTAATTTGTTAGAAGCCAGCTTTGTAATTTACCTCATTTCATAATATTTTACGAAAGCTTAAATGTGAATTCTCTTAAGTTTCCTTAAATCATGCATTATAAACTATGTGTTAGCAAAGAAGAGAAATAGTGTGAAAATACTTAATTTTTAAATCAATTCATTTATTGTTTTCATTGGTATAACACATACGTAAGTGTTCACTTAATTTACTGAGAAGCTGGGTAACATATAACAGCAAAGTAATTAAATTGTAATTTATGTGAAAAGACCTCGTAAAAAAGGATAGAAAAAAGTGACTAAGAGGAGCATACTTCATTATGCATAAGCGCGTAAAATTACAAAGAAATCGACATCAACCACAAATTCATGTCTATTAAGCAATAAGTGGGAAATTTAAACATTGTTATGAACCAGTTTTGCTGAATTTTTCGATGCTTTTTTTTTAATATCCCCTTTCTTTCATTCGGAAATTAAGTGAACGAAAAAGAAACAAGTAATGCTATTTTTATATACATAGTTGGGGCTTTTAAGTTCGCTTTACTAATCGAAATGCATTTAATGCTAAGAAAAGAAATGTGACATTATCTTGTGCTTAATTGCTCGCTCGCTCATCATCATTACCTAAGCAATAATATACGCAAAGTCATTAGACGAAAAATTAAGCTTCAATTTCCGCATAATTGTGATATGGAAAGTTCGTTAAGAGTGGAAAGGTTTTTATATGCCAGGCGAAGTTATAATTTCTTTTTGATGATTCTTCCTTGCTGGCTGCGTTTAGAGGTTTCATATCCAAAATAGGTAGATGAGAAAAAAATAGGAGCGTCTTTGTTATCGTTACAGATAAAAGTTATTGGAATTAAGTAATCACTTCAAATATTAAGCGCAATATGTTATTGTTATGATTTGGGAATTAATAGATCTTTCTTCTTCATTTCAATGCGTTTGAATAATGGGATTAAGAAGATTTGTTCAAAGTTTCCCTATATTAAGTTTGGGTAATTCATAAATATTAGGACGGGAATTGTAAATCTAAAGCTTTAATTCTTTTACAATCAAATCTAATTTCCTCTTCGAATTTTCTGGGAAAAGTAAGTTCGAAAAATGCATCAAGTAGTATGCTTTTCTTTTCACGCAAAAAAAGATAAATTTTTACGAATGCAATCATATTGAAGGGAACGAGAAAGAATTTCGAATAACCGAAAATTCGTATGAAAGATATTTCTAATCATATTCACTTGAATAAGCAGTTATGAATCTGTGTATGCCTATAAATTTATTTAATAAATGCCATACGAGAAGTTGTTGCATAAGTTATTTACAAGAAAAGCTTCGGTTTCTTTGAATACGCAAAGTACGCTAGGGCTATCTGCCTAAGTTGAGGAATGGCTTCGTGGAGGACTTTCTAACGGAAATTTGGTTGGATTCAAGTTGTACATGAGGAAAACCAATCACCTTTAATTTAAGACTAAAGCGCTTCCTTAGTTCTATTTTATTAATGATTATGATACGTTTTCACACAGGAAAAGGGTAGGCATAGATTCCTTTGTGCTGCTGTACTTCACTTCAACTACATTATTTCAAGGGGGAGGACCAATGTTATGCAACCAACCTGCTTGCCTAGAATCGAAGCCAGGTCGAAATACGAGTGTTCAGAGATTTTATCGCTCGGCCGTAATTCGTAAGAAAAGGAGAACTGTAATTAAAATTAAAATTCATTATTGAAATTTTGACAATAATATTAAACAAATACTTCTATAGGAAGAAATTTTGCCATGAAATCATACGATTTGAGTGAAGAATTAAATGATGTATATCAGTTTAAAAATAATGGTAGTAAATAAAATGTCTCGTTAGCATTTGGTTACTATTTTTTTTCCCTTCAACTGTACAAATGCAACGTATAATTCTAAATAAAATTTTCGAAACAAAAGGAATAAAGTAGTTCTGGCTTATAAGAGAAGTAAATTAAATTTTGGAAATATGAAAAAGGAAAGAATGATGTCAAACTCTTCCGTTTTTTTAATTCCAAATCAAAGAATGGAAGCATTTAAAAATAAATTTAATTTAAATCGCGTATTTAATTACTTTTAAGAAAAGAAAGAGTGAGAGTGTTTGTGAATTTAACTAAATAGGTTAGAAAACCACTAAAATTCAGATTATTACTTAT